TCTTTCTTCTACATATTTATTTTCAGTCACGCATTCACACAATAAAATATTCTGCACGTAAACTCCAAACTTTTTCATACTTTTTAACCACACGTTCTAAAAAAAAATCACTATTTAAAACTCCATTTTACATGAATAATGGTTGTCAAACAAGGCTTCAGTCTGCTATGAACTTATTTTTAGGCAAAACTATGCATTACTCCTTACAATTTGTATAAATTTTGGGTGCTTGGAGTTTAGAGATCGAATACTCTCACGTATTCTCCACTTAGAATTATTAGTGAAATCTTCTTCTCGTGTGGATGAATATAAATCAGATATCCAACCACTCACAATTATTCTTAGTGAAAACTTAGTCTGCAATGGATAACGCCATAGCTAAACAACTTGAAAATATTTTTTGACACGTTTGATCACTTTCGTACGTTTGGCCATCATATACTTTGGTAAGAAATCAACATTAGTTCCATCAACACTTTGTGACTTTGTCCATTTTTTTCTTGTTCGCTTATTGCTAACATTATTATTGATCCAATTGAGTGTAATGTCATAAAAGACACTGCAACATGATTTGTACCCTTGAGCTTGGTCTGAATTTGACCTGAACATATTGCATCAATATCTAAACGCCTAGGTTGCTTCTTTATTTATTTATATTTTTTCCTGGATGACACCGGAAGGGAAGGGAAGGAAAGGAAAAGAAAGGTAACGAGTTTCTTCCATGCGTCATGGTCGACTAGCTTAGGTATCGAGCTTAATTATGTAAAAGAGAATGGAAAGCGATACAAAAGGGTTGAATTTCTATTCTTGGTTAAGAGCTTTCTGGTCGCTCTTAGGGGCGTAGGGGAGGGTGGGTCTGGGAAAAGATCAGACCTGCCTCCAAGCCCAGTTAATTTTGTAAAGAAAGTTTTTTTGATTTATGAATTTTTTTTTTCTATATATATATATGTTAGTACTTTTTTTTTTGTCCCTCTGGATTTGCCCCTGGTTGCTCTCGAACTTTTCCATAATTAAGAAGGGGGGAATGTTCTAAATGAATGAACATTGATGAACGTGGTATACGATATGATCAATTCGACCAGTCAATTTAGCCCAAAATTTTGGTGGACCGTGCTTCGACGAGTCGATGAATGGTTGATATTGTGGCTAGTTGGGCATTGCTATTGTGATTGACATAGCCTTGAGATTGAGGAAGTTGGTAGGTCAGGTGAAATTTCATGGACACAAAATTCAAACAAATAATGATGATAAACTTACTGGCAATGTCATTATCTGGACAGCTTTTGCGTTTGAAAAGTGAAAAATAAAAATTAAGTTTTTCAATTGTGGGAGGCAAAATCAATTCCCAAACAGGACACAATCATGAGTTACACTGGAGAAGATGGGACACAAAAATTACCTAAAAGTGAGCATGCATTTGGAAAAACATTAACAATCCAATAATAATGGTACGAATGATAGTAGTATTCTTTACAATATGACTATATACCTTGCACGTTAAAAAATCAATTTGATATAATGCGCGTCGATCATTTAGCCATGTTTCGTTTAATAAAAATAAATAAATCAGATTTTTAGTAGAATTTCATAAAAAATGATGAAATTATTGTTAAAAAGTTGCGAATTCTGTAAAATATGTGATTGAAATTAATTGTTGATTTTGATTTAAATTTTTATCAATTTTTTAAACTAAATAAACATAGACTCAGTCTTACCAACACACCTATAATCTAGGTTCAATTACATCCGCGTAATTAGTGATGAGGTTAGTGTGGAGGAACAGACACTTATGTATTTGGAACGTTTGGATGGTCGGCGTTCGAAAAAAATAACGTAATTTTTGCATACAGTGTCCGTTTTGGGCCTATGACCCCATTCCGGAAAGATCGTTTGAGGGATTTTTGACATTTGAATTCGTTTGCTAAGTGAAAACGACACTTAATGTTTCTTAGTTCATTATTTTTAGTATTTATTTATTTTGATTTGTAGGCCAACTCATTAAGGGACTGCTAGCCCAGTGGGTTATCCGTTCTTTTAGTATTTAAAACTCTAAAACGTCTCGTAGGGTTTTTGTTCATTCATTAAATAAGAAAATCGTTTGTTTTCTTAAGGTACAACCCGTTTATTAGTGTGTTTGTAGATTCGATCCACATCAATTAGGATTAGAGATTGACCGAACAAAATATCAATAGAAATTTACACATTTAACAAACGATTCCACTTGCAGCGATAGAACCGAACTAGACCATATCGACCATCTCTGGCGAGGTCCGGTATGATTCTTTTATATACCTGAAAAGAAAATTATAAAGTACAATCTCTTGAGTGAATATTCTAGGTTTACTGTCATTTTTTGTGTAAACTTTTATAATACATGTAACAAGTTAAAACGAGATTCAACCAATTATGATTAAAATAAGTAAAAGTTTGTATATAATTTATATCTAATCGCTGCATGATTGTACCTGCTCTTGGACTATTCCACATTTTTCTACGATTCAATAGTTTTGTTTTCTCATGTCAATTTATGCCCTTTTGATTCTCACTATATTTTGATGAAATTTAATGAAATGTTGATTAAAATAAATTGTTATCTTTAACTTCAATTTTTATCGATTTTTGTAACAAAACCAAACAAGAACTATATAAACCGTCAATCTCTATCAATTTCATCCATACTTATTTGAGATCCCCGAGGAAGGGAATCAAGTTGGTCATTGCGAATCGCTTAATGGACTATCTCCGTTCGACTCTTTGAGCGAAATGAGGCAAAAGAAAAGGAAGGAAAATCAATGGACCGACCCCATCATCTCCACCCCGTAGAAACTACGAGATCACCCCAAGGGCGC